GCGGGTGTACGGAGTAATCTTGAAGCAATAACAAGTGATTATCTGATGGCGGAGATATTGCTGCCTTAAGGCCTAAGGCATTAATAACTTGCCTCAGGCTATGAACTGCCCCCTCAAATGAGCTCCGCAGCCTGATTGCCTGAGCTAGGCAGGATACGCTTCACCATCGCCTTGTCGCCCCATACCCGCCGACACACCCGACCAGTCTTACCTCTTGTCGCGGGTCTATCTCCCATGCTCCCATAACCTGCATCTAATCATGTCCCGGAGGACGCTGGGTGGAGGTCGTGTCCTGGGCACTCCGAACGCTCTCGCTGCAGCAGCATCGACGCTGTCTCCGCAACAGAAGCCAAGCATCTTATCGCCGTCCGCCAGCAGCCTCTCCCTCAACTCGCAGGCCTCCGCCTCCCAGTTCTCATCCGAAACGCAAGATCTCACTTCCCGAATTTCTTTAGAAAATGGCGCGACGTCCATATCCGCGGCCCCGGCGGCTGCCGGAGCTCAGCTTGCTTGTCCGATCTGCAGTGAGGAGATGGTATGGCCTACACCCCTCACCTCAACCCCTGTTACGGCTCCGTGATATGGGAGACATATCATCTTGCGATAACTAACGAGCTACAGGTAACTCTCTTGCAATTGAATAGGTATTTGTTTCGATGCGCTGTATTCGCGACGTGTGCCTAACAATAACTCCAGACACCTCGATGACGTACATCAGAACCTCGAAGACGATCGGCAAGATGAAGTCAAGGATTGGTTCAAGGTGCAGATGGAAAAGGCAAAGCGCTTCCAGCCTCTAGCTGTATTGAATCAGAAACTAAAAGGACTGGACGTCTTTGAGTCGAACGAGAACCATCACCCATCCGTTGGTCCAAGTCGGCCCGCTGTGCCTCAGCCGGGTTACAATGAGCCACCGAGAGTACTGGACCCCGAAGACATCATCACAAAGGATCACTGGCAGGTTCGGGGATTATACGATGCCTGTCTAGAGCCGTCGTGCGGGAAGCGCCTAAATGCTACCAATGGCTGCGTCAACTGTCGTAAATGCGGGAAGCTCTTCTGCGAGGAGCATACCATGTACCAGATGAAACTGTCCAGATCGGCGCAGCATGAGCCTGTGAGAGGCCTGTGGTATAGGGTTTGTGAGACTTGTTATAAATCAAGGGAAGGGTACAACGACCATAATGGTATGTTGTCTATACCTTGTGTGATTGACATGGCAATGCTGACTTGAGCCAGGCCTGGTTCGAGACCGAATGGACGAATTCAAGGCTGTGAGGAAGCAGACCGTTGACAAAGCCACACTGGAAATTTCTCGGCTGGAAAAGCGATTGACGCGACTCACTCAGTTATTAGCGAGTCTACCTCCAGATCAGATACAATCAGGGGGAAAGCGCTGGCCAATTTCATGGCAAAACGACCAACGGAAAGCGCTCGAGCAGACTATTGTTAGCTGGCAGGATGACTCTGGGGTACTTCGGTGTCCTTTCTGCCAGCAGGAGTTCACCAGTTATACCTTTCGCAGACATCATTGCAGAACCTGCGGGCGGGTCGTGTGCGGCGACCCTGCGACTGGATGTTCAAGTGAAGTTCCTCTTAGTATAACGCCTTGTATGTTGTCCCCGTTGGGTTGTTCTCACTTTCGCTAATCGGTTAAAGTGGCCAAGGCGGCTGGAGAAAAGTCACCGAATGCGGGTGCTATCAATGTTGACATAAGGCTTTGCAAGGAGTGTAAATCAACCCTATTTGACCGACGAGATTTTCAGGCAGACATCATGCGCCGGCCTCCGGACGTCAGAGCGTACGAGAATCTTGCGCAGTTTGAGAGGGGCATTCGTCTGCTCTTACCCAAATTTCAGAAGCTCCTCACTACCCTGCAGTATGTTGCGAATCTAAACCATCGCTGCCATATCTAACATCATACTTTCTTATCAGAGACCCAAGGCGACCACCTTCTGCGGCCCATATTGCTGAAGCCTCGAAAGTTCGAAAACGACTTACTGATTCCTTCGCCCAGTATGATGTCGCCGCCAGGCGTATTCGTGATATGCCGACGGACTCTCCAACACAAAAGCGGCTTCAAAAGGCCATCTATCAACAAGCCACTAACTTCCTGCACCTTCACATGCTTCCGCTGAAAGCGTTGCCCAAGATTCTCAGGCACGCAACTCCGAACGGGCGACCTGCAAGCCCCGCGAACTCAATTGGGACTCCGCCTAACCATGCAGCGGGTAGTCACCGACCAAGAGAGTCGGCACTCGCGTCCATCAAATATAACGGTATAGCTGGTAGCGGGAGCAATACCAGCCTAGCCAGCGACACGAGTAGTGCCGTCTCCGCTTTGGAAGCAGAGGAGAAGGCACTGCGTGAACGCCTTATCGTCCTAGAAGAGCAGAAATTCTTCGTTTCGGAAATGATTGCAGACGCAAATAGACGTCGCAAATTTGATGAGGTCAGCAGCCTTGCAATGAATGTCGAGGATTTGAGTCGGGAGATAGACCGGGTCAATGGCATGCTTGCTGCACTTGACTTTGAGGGCGTATATACCGGCAACCAACTTCGTGCATAGTCTGAGGCTGGTGCTTCTTGCTGCAGTTACGCTGCATGTTTCAGGATTGAATTGTTTTGCTTGCTATATTCTGTCCGGTGGCTTACTGGTTATTGGATTCAGCATGGCGTTTCGATATCGCATAGCACGAGGCGTTCTGGGTATAGCATGTGCTATTGAGCCTGTATCTCTTGTGTGATTGCTCCAAATTCATAGTGCTCGTTGATACGGGAGTGGCTGTGTTCTTGGTATTCTTAATATATCTTCGGGTTCATAATATTTCGTAGAGGAAACAGGAGCAGTAACTGAAAATCAATTGCGTTGTGTTTGACCGTTGCAGCCCATGCCATCATCATGTCTTGGTCAAAATCATCCGTGTCCCACATCCAGTTCATGTGTCAACAATTCATGGCTACAGGACGCACAGGTCACGTGAGCGATCTGGGCCAAGACGGCGCCGCACCTTATTTGGACCACTGGTCCAAGTGTACTTCCTAGGATCGCGCCGGGTGTTCGACAGGGCCTTTTGTTCTCGGCTACTGGGGATTGCTCGCGTGGGGGAACAATTCCATAATCCTCTTAAGTTCGGTCCTACATATGAGAGTGGAATAAAATCTGCGGTCAAGGGATATTTGAAGGCTGTGGATCTCGCAACTACTCGCGGTACGCTAAGTGGAGGCAGCTCATAACCTTAATTACTGAGGTAAACGAACAAACAACGGCTGTCCTATTAACACCATGGTACATAAACCTCCTTTCCTTTTTATCCTATGTCACGAAAAAATTGCTGACCTAGGAATAGCTCTTGCCCAGGCACATATTCTGCCCTGGCCTCCTGTCATCACCCACAAGAGTCCCCTGGCTCGCACCTAGCCGGTTGCGAGTCCGCCGAATCTCGATAGCAATCAATCATCCGCTACATCGGAATATATGCCCACGGAGGAGTTTCAGTATGAAACTAGATCATTCGGACAGCCATCGGTTCACTGTCAAGGTCAAGGGCCCGCACGAAATCGAAAACGATGACCACAGAGACCTCCTTCTTGCACAACTGGAAAAAATCCCACGGGACATCCAGTTTCTCAAAATAACGGAAGATACACCGTCTGATGTTGAATGGGCACTGCTTGACAATCACTTCAGCAATATCAAGGATCTCGAGATGCGCACGGGCTTCAACGAGGAGCTGAATGATGCGGAACTACCCACACACTGGCCGCTGGAACGGCTTTTTGTTAGCGACGCCTGCGCAGAAGTGTTTCGCAGTCCGTTCGTTCTCGAGGGAAGAGTCAAGCATCTTGTTCTGCTGCTGACATCTGGACTACGGTTTGAAGGGCCGACCAGCGCTGAGCTGTATCGTGCGAACAAGGAAGCGATTTCCCGCGGAGAAAAAGAGGCCAAGTACATGACTGTCCGCGAAGGAACGCCCGAAGAGAAGAAGATTGAGCTAGTATGGCTTCCGGAGCTCGTCGCAGAGTCAATGAATGAGCGGTATGCGGGGACGCGCGCGACGCCGCCACTGATCACCAACACTGACTTACCGCTTCTGCCGAAGGAAGTACCATCGAAGATGGAGAAGCTGGAGATACTGGAGAACGATGCTATCGATACGTTCAACCGGATGACCATTGCTCTGGAACATGTTGTAGAGAACCTGTCTACACTCAACATTCGCTCCACGCATGGCTTGGATTTCCACTTCACGACTGAAGAGATGTTTGCGTGTCTTCTTCCGCAGCTTCTGAATTTGAGGACCTTTGTTCTCTCCGTGGGCGATATCTTCCAGGATGAAAACCTCCTCCCAACTCTTTACACTCGGTTCCCCCCGAATCTCTCAACCCTACGCTTTCGAGGTCCCGCGTCTCTTGGCAGATCCAGCGAGTGGGCCAACTGGGTGAAGGCCTTTGCGTCTTCGGACTTCCTTCCAAACTTGAAACGACTGAGCTTTGTATTAGATTTACACTATGAGGCTCCAAAGGAAGGCACTACCAAAAGGGAGCTCATCGCGGCACCGGAGGACATACTTCGAGATGCGCAGGATGCGTGCAAACAGCTGTATCAGGTTGTTGAGCAGCGTGGGGTCATTCTCGAACCATTTCAGGATAAATGGTCCGATCATTGCGCACTGTTCAGACAGGCTGATGAGCGGTGGATGCAACTCTGATCATTTCTAGCCCGTGATGGGCCTATGTACTTGTAAAATAAGAACTCCACTCACATGTAATATACTTAGACTCCTCTCAATCAACTATTAATTTATAAACAATTTTAGGAATTAAACAGCAAAACTGTAAAGATCTGTTCATCTAAAGAGAGTACTCTCCTGCACTTTTAACCCACTGTATTAGCATTGGTGACATCGTCTCTTCATAGCAGTATGCTACTATCAACGAGGATTTAGTATTATAAGTAGCTAGAATCTGGCTAAGGCATCATGAGTTCATTGATTCGTCTACTGTATCGAAGAGAATATCTCCTCCCATACCTCCACCGACTGCACCAGAGTATCGTGGTCCGTTCCATCGACCGTCGTAGAAACATAGTCGATAGCCTCCAACCCCGGTGCCCGCCAGCACTCCTCAAAGTACTTTTGCCCCCGGCGGCCCACCAAGGCATCCTTGGCAGCAAAGTAGGTCCGGACACTGACCCGCCCACCCGCGGACCGTTCATGGGCCGCCAGCGTCTGCACACAGTGAGCATAATCCGAGCACTCTCCCCAGGAGCTACCATCTCCCTTCCGAAGACACTGCAAGGCCTCACTATTGGCACCGACGGTGTTCTCTTCATACATAAATCGGAGGGCGAGGCGAGCGAGCTCCGCCTGTTCAGCATGCGGCACGCCATAGTCACGTTCGACACGCCGCCAATTGGCATCGAGGAATGAGCGGTCCTTCGCTTCTTCGCTGCTACTCCGTGACGACATTCGTCGGACTACAGCGCCGCTTGACGCCAGCGCGGGGGTAGCCTGCGTTACGAAGAAGCGTGGGATGAGGTGCCACATTGCGAATGCCTTGGTGGGCACGTACTGGGCTATCTGCATCGCTGTAACGCGCGAGTGGGCGGTATCAACCCACGGAGCTATAACAGGATACTGAGCTATTTATACTTTTTTTTTTTCTCTGTCTTGTTTTCTTTTTCTCTCACTTTTGGGGCGAGGAAGAAAGGTTGAATGATTACTTACCTAAGAAAGTAATGACCGGGCTCATAATCTCGCGGCAATGCGCCCAGGTATTAAGCAGGTAAATGGTCCCGGCACTGTGCGAGACAAGGCTGACGCGCGGAATACCCAGATGGGCCAGCAAGCGTGGCAGCATATCGACCCAGACGGCGATGCGCTGGGAGAGTGGTACATCAGTCGACGCGCCCATTCCAGGCCGGTCGACTACGAGCAGGCGCACGCCAGCGCGCTCTGCGATTACATGCATAGGGATGCTGAGATAGCGCGAGCCGAACATACCCGGTAGAAAGAGCAGCGGGATGCCTGTGGTGCAGCCTATGTCGGCGAATGTGATGGTGAGGGGGCCATATGTTGTGTCGAGAACGACGCGGCGATGGAAGCACCTGCTGGAGATGAGGCTGAGAGGATCAGACATGATGAGTTGGATATGATTGTGAATAACTGTCCATAGTCTCAAGAATGAATATGCTGACGATAATTGACAGCTGCCTGATCTTACGGCCTTACCCATTGGGGCTAGGGTTCGGTGATAATGATGCCTGATATCTGAGGTGTCAATTTCCCGAAACCCTAGAAAGTAAGGCAGTTGGCTTCGTTGATGGGTTCAGTCATCTCCAAGCCATCGCCTTGCTTCATTCGATCCTCATTACTCTGAGTGACTTATCTCCGGATCACACACTGCTTTATATAATAATATCATGAGTTAATAGTAATGACATTCCACTTTCAACATGAAAGTTGCGAACCACTGTTGCACGAGGTCACAGCAGATTAAAGTATGCTCCTTAAAATCTCATATTAGCGTAGCACCGTACATTTATAAGAGGACGGAACTGATGATAGGACGGTTATGGCTTCTAAGCATCACAGTATCAAATAACTAGGCTTTTATCACTTCATATACCTGATGATGACCCCTTACAGGCCTTTCACCTGCCAGCCAGAACTCTGAAAATGTTAACAGGATCTTTGACTAACCACTTGTTTGTTGTGTTATTGTCTGTCGACCAGAGTCATCTTAAAGTAGCCTGTGACACCAGTTGGCTAGGACCATTTCCTCTGTACCCTGCTACTTGCAAGCCTCATGTAGCCACTGCTACATCTGCTTACTTCTTATCATCATACTCTTTCAGAATTGCTTCAGAAATCTTCACGGCCATACCATAGAAGACATTCATCACATGCGAAGACACCTGGGTAGGGGGAATAGAGCCATCAACCACGCGAAGATTCTCAACTCCATAAACCTTGGCATTTTCGTCGACGACACCCCCAAGTTCCTTCTTCATCATGCTGCACGTCCCAACACCATGATAGTTGCCGCGGAAGTTCTGCTTTACATAGCGCGCCCAGTCTTCCAGGCTCGCGTCGTCGGACAGCAACTCCCCCGGCAACGTCTCTTCGCCGAAGAACTCTCCCATTTTCCCGGAGCGGGTCAGTTTACGCGCGAGTCTCGACGCCGCAGCTTGCCCGTAAAGGTCAAGCTTGTTCTGGAAATAGCGGGGGTTATACTCGAAGCTACGCAGGTAGGGGTCGCTGTTGAGGATCTTGACGTATCCCCGCGTGAAGGGCAGCAGGTTCCACAGGTCGATGTGGATATGGTTGTCGGTGTCGAGAAAAAGTTCCGCATAGGAGACGTTGTTCTTGCCCAGCAGCCAATTCTGGTAGTTGACATACTGAAGGAACAGAGCGGACTGGTTGTGGAAACCGCCTCCGGCGACGGTCTCGGCGGCCCATTCACGCAGTGTGGCGTTGTGGTTCACAAGCGACTTGTAATACTTCGCATGTTCCCCGAACACCTCCGCGAAAGTTGCGAAGTACGCGACTTGGCCCTGCCCATTGCTTTCTGGGGTGGTCCGGGCGACGACAGAGGTTGTGGTCTGATCCTGCATATTGAGGCCAACAGGGAGGTCGATCTTTTGTTCGATCTTGACTTTAGGGTTTGACAGTACATCGGCCGGACCGATACCTGAATATTGCAAGATCAGAGGGGAGATAGTCGATCCAGCAGCGAGGAGAACCTCGTGCTTCGCCCTGACGTTGAACCTCCAGCCCTTCTTGCGGTGGGTGCCGAATTCAACTCCCGTCGCTTTGTATTTTGGGTCATCCTTCTCAGTTGGCTCGAGATTGACTCTGCCCACAAGCTGTCCGGTCAGGACAGTAATGCGGGCTTTTGCCGAGTTGTTCTTGAGCACGGGCTCTAGCCACGACCGCGCAGCATCCGTGCGGACCTGCCCCTTGGTCAGGGTGTTGAGGAACATAGACACGCCGTGCGGAATACCGCAGCAGAGATCCTGCTGGTATGGCGCGCCAGTGGTTTCGTTGACAGTTTCCATCAGCGCAAAGATAAGTGGCGACCAATTGGTCTTTCGATCTCGCGCCCCAATCTCTACCCTGCCCTCGTCAGGCTTGGAGTTATGGCAGCTCCGGTCATAAGGGTGGTGATGACCTTCGGTCACATCCTTGTCCTTCGTTGGATCTCGAGGCTTCTCAATCTCGTCCATGTATTTTTTCAGGTTGTCCCCAGTTCCAGCCAGTATTTCCAAAGACATGTTCCCAGGAATCGACCTGATCTCTGTGTGGACGTGTCCAGGTTCCGCCGTTGATAAGAGTGGACCCTCCGAGGCCATTGCCGGACCGAATGATCTCAACCCGCTGGTGGACCTGGGGGCTGGTCTCATAGGCATGGTCAACGCTGCTGCCAAAGATCTCACCGTATGCGTTCAAGTCGTCGATGATGCGACCGTATTCAGACCCGTAGTATCCGTTCTCAATCACCAGAACCTTGAACTTGTCCGGATGGTCGAGAAGCTTGGCAGCGATCGTCAGACCTGTCAGGCCTCCTCCGGCGATTATATAGTCGTATGTCTGATCTGCTACTCTCTCAGGATTGCTGATGACGCCTGTGGCCTCCGGCGCAATTGTGCTGTGGGCTGTGCTACTGGGAGGAACTTGGAAAGGGACTTGAAAGGGCTCAGAAAGTGTTCTGGCCACGAGGACCAACCAAAGTAGGTGAAGGTGCTTCATGGCGAAAAAATACTCGGAAGGATATCAGCGTACTCCTTAGTATGGTTTCTAGGAGAAGATATAACAAAGGTGCATTTATTGAGTAATGCCTCCTCGAAAACGGACTGCAATGGTCATAATTGCTTCATGCTGGGCCTACTGACCGTCAGGAAGACGTCGGATGCCTTCGTGTTGTTGAACCATGGAAGAGACTTCTCCTCCATTTCATGCAGTGCGTCTATACCAGATTAACTCCTCGGCTCTAGGGTATGTATTCAGGAATCCCAATTCATCTAGACAGACTATATGATACTGCCTTAGTTTTACCACGTGGTTCTGGGAAGGTATAACATTGCCAAGGAAAACATATAAATTTAGAAGATGAGAATGAACTGCTTGGTTCTTCCTAAGCTATAGAGGTATCCATTTGGTAAGGGACAAGTTCAAATCGTCCCCTGGGTCCAATTAGCATTCCCAAAGGTGGCTATGGTCGAGTATGTGGCTGCAACGGAGCAGAGACGTCAGGATAGTAGGTAGTCATAAAGTCAATGCAAAGCAGGACATATGACGCATGAGAAGTAAGTAAAAAGGGCTGACGACCCCAAGGACAAGCCTTATGCATCATTGTTACAGATAGGCATCCTTTATTCTCCTACTGAAGGGTTTCCCAGTCAAGAGTGGATTATATAAGTTATACCTTCCACTTCCAACCAGCTACAATATTCCATAATCCGGCATTGACTCAGGCGAGATGATACGAAGAGCTTCTTGACATTACGGTCCTGGTCACTTATAAGCCGATCATGGGGATGCGTAAGGAGTTACCCACCCATCTCAACCTACTTTTTTCCTTTTAACCAACTGCCATCGCTAATCCCATCTTTCCAATGGAGCATGACGTATAGAAATATGCCAATTACACTAGCTTTTTCTGAAGGGCTTACCAGGAAGGCCCAGGTCCATCACAGAGGTAGTAAATCAATATAAATTAGAGCCAAGTGATAAGAAAAAGCATAGCAACAACTAGCTTTGTAACCCATCCTCTATCCATGGCGATTCTGTTGATCTCTTCGCACGGGTTACCTCCAGACGAACAGTCCACTAGGTGAGTGGTAGAAAGCCTTACAGTATTCGAAAACATGCTGTACCCGACATTGTGTCAAAACATCTCACCCTTTAATGGATCAGGTACATGAACACTGTAATCGATTTCCGGTGCCTGATGCTCGATTGCCCACTGTCGGATTGCTTCAAAATCCCGGCAAGTATGTACCGTACCCGAATAGCCTTTGACCCTTTGCGCAGCTTCGTTCCATGAATATACAACTGGGCTAATGTCGGATGAGCACATAATACTCTGGCGGAGGGCGTCGATGCAATGGTCAAGGTGAAGCGGCCCTAGGGAGATGTCATCTTGGGTACCGTGTGCGTGGTGTTCCTGCATGGGGACGCCCCATACTGTTGTGCGGAGTGTGTCCTACAGCGCGCGTGTTAGTTCCCAGCATTGAGAAGACGAGGGACATAGCATGGTGGAGTACAAGACAGTGTAAGTTGTGGAAAACATCCAACAAAACTACATAATACCCCGGCGCGCCTGGAATGGGAGCTGTCGAGTTGACTAGCTTGGCAGCATCTTCCATCGGGATGGCACTCATGCCGGCTATAATCCATCAGGACACACTATCAAATCTTTGTGGGGGCTTATTGAAGCTTACCGTCATATAAATCCCTCCATGCCTTGTTGTTCTCATCCGTAGGAGGCCCCATATACTTTGACTTAGATTTTGGATTTGCCGGGTTGAAGGCTATGTTGTGATATCGCACAATATGCTGGGCGGGAGCTATATTCATTAGTATAAAACCCTCTGTCAACTCATCTGTGCTGGTGGCCAGCTCACAATATATCTCATCTGGGATATAGTATTTATTGATCTTCGAAATGGGCAAGGATCCCACCAGTATAACACTGCAGAGGAACAATATTGCAACCCACTGAGCGACTAAGACTTTTCGAAGTCGCTTGTAGCGAGCCCTTCCGAGTTCTATCTTAGTAGCATCCACGTCTTCCGTCAAAAATGGGATGTTCTGGTCATTTAAGGACTCCAGCTGTCGGAGACGTTCATATTTTCCAAGTGTCATGGTGGCAGCAGAGAAGATAGGGCTTCACAGAGATTGTGTAGATTCTGGTTATGAGACCTCGTTAGAAACAGGGACAAAGAAAAGTCACTTATTGCTCATTGAGAGGCGCCTGTAGTCGCACAGTACATACAGAATACAACCATTCCATCCCTACTGGCCAGCAGTTATCCTTACTTCTACATCAAGACCCTTACAATGATGGGTATAAGCACATGCAATTTTTTGTGTAAGGACTTCCCAGTGTATGTTCCCCGCTGTGGTTGCAGCTATGGTATTTAGCAGCCGCGCACAAGTGCTTGCCCCTTGTATATTGTCGATGTATTGCTAACATGGCAGGTTGACTCGGCTATCCCTTGCAGTGGTGGTACCGTCACCGCTCAGTCTGTGATATACAACAGTGCTGTACAGAGTTATCAACGATGTCACTAATGAAAGAAAGGACCTCTTGTAAGCAGCAAAGCAAGGAATCAAATAAATTATCCTTTGGTGCTGCCAACCTCAGGCCAGTCATCTATCATTCTGCACATGACGCATTTGGATTCTGTGTAACAACATGAAGTGCATCTCAACTTACGTATGAGACCTTACATTGGACTTATCTGGAGGAATTAGCGGTGTAGGCAGATGAGCTATTTGGAAGTTGGACGCTCCATCCAGTCTCATCCAGAACGAAGATAAATACATTAATCTTCCCTCTCCTTCCACCCGAGTGCGGTTCAATCCTCGATCTCCTACACTCAGTATCCTCAACTCTGTCCCTCTCTCTACACCGAGAATTAACCTGTTCCACGGTATCAAAGAACATCGAACAATATGAAGGCCTCTTTCCTCGCCATCGGGCTCTTTTCCCTCCTGGCAGCTTGTAGCCCAGTCCTCCAGGTATTCCGCCAACCCACTAAAGATATCCAATTGTGAAGGGCCCCAGCTGATGAACACCAGGATACTCAGGGCAAAGCTTCCATTGATGACGGGGCAGGCCCAAGTGC